TTAGATGATAGATGGATAGACAGAACTGAAAACAGAGCCCAGCACAGAGTAAGAACGCTGTGATGACGGTAACTGCCCTGTGACACGCTCTCATCTCCAGCCCCATTGGCCATTCTGAACATTACATAGCTCTAAAAACAGATCCTCTGGTAGAAGCTTCTCCATGAAAGTGACACACAAAAGCAGATTTAACACTCTGACAGAGGGTGACACGTGTGTCCCCAACTCGGTGGGAGGAGCCAGTGCCATGGCCTATACTTCACAATTGTGAACGTCTGCCTGGCATGGTTGTCACTTTTTGGTTATGGAGCCTCATCTCTGGTTCTCACCTGTCCAAAAGACATCTAAAACCACCAGGTCTTTTTCATAAAAGCTGCTGTCAAACCAAGCCTTCCATCCAGCCTGGTGGTTTTAGATGTCTTTTGGACAGATAAGTGACTATTTGGAGGACATGAGTACATTTTACATCTTAAAACTAAATTCTTGGTTTGGTGTCTTCATTCTAGCTCATTGCGACAAACTCTTATTTTGGTTTTATTATTCAGTCTTTCCTCATTTTGTGTCATGTCCAAAATGTGATAAATACGCTGTATTTTTATCCAAGTGATTGACAAAAAGTGCTATCCAAACTTGTCCAAAGATAGGGCCCTGGGGTACACCATGTCGTCTAATAAAGGAATCTATTATTAAGTGTTTGACTTAGGACTCCGTCTAACTCTGTGACCCTCCCCTTGCTCTTTTCCATCTGTTCGTAACGATATCATGCTAAAATCAATGTTTGCTTTTCCTATTCAATTCCTTGTGGCTAAAAGAAAAAGTTTGTTCAAGAATCATTTTTTGTCTTGGAACATCCAGAAGCTGAGCTGGGCAAAGCGTTGTGTGCCCTGCATAGGAGGGAATCCCAGAAAATAGGCAGCAAGGTCAGAGCAAAGGATTTCCAAAGACAGCCCTCTGCAGACTGGAGTCTGGCTTCCCAGGAATCTGATCCCAGCTGTCAACCCAGGAGAAAGATTATTTTCTGAAGCAGTCTGAAATGACCCTGCATTTCAGGTTGGGGTCGGGCGCTGGGGAGCCTGCAAACCCTGGCTGCAGGAGGGGAGTGTGGGCGAGGGAGAAGAACCCCGGGTGGCAGCGATGGCTGGGCAGGGGCGGCAGGCGTGCGTTTTAACACATTTCCAGGACGAGGCTGGGCTCTGCTGGACACACTTTTCCTGAGCCAGAGCCAGTGTTCTCACCACATAAGTTCCAGATGACATTAATAACAGCCGCGTATGGGACATACAGCAGGTCAGCTCTAAAGATGCCAGGCTGCGTGCAATCAGGTCAGAAATAGAAAACTCAGCCAATGGAGATCAGGGGCAGGTTCTTTAAAGACGGTGGGAGGAGAAGCAAGCAGTCATAGATGTAAACTTCTAGGAGACATGTTTACCAAAGGCCTGCTGAGTCTGTGCGACTCTTCCTGGTGCCTCCATGGAAAACAGTCTTAGACGTCTGCTACTGAGACACCAGGTCCCTCAGGGTTGAAGGCTGGGGTTTTACCGCCACCCAGTGTCACTTTGCGGCATGGCAGCTTTGGAACACTGCAGCCTACAGGGAGGCAGAGAGCCATGGTCTACTTCTCATCTGACAGTGAAAAATGACTAAAGGCTGATGAGCTGTATTTCGTTATCTCCCATTAAGTTCAAAGGAGATGCCACTCTCGTTCCCAGCCATCAATCAAATGGCATTCCTCAGGGGCCAGGACGGCTAAATCGTCACCTTCTATCTCCACCCAGGAGGAGATGCGGACAGAACAGGCTTTGAAATCTTTGTCTCCAACACAGTGACTCACAAATGCCAAACCTGCAGTCCCTGAGGTGTCCCTATGTGAACGAAAGAACTTATTTATGTGTAAGGATATAGCACCTGGAAGAGAGCTAACAGCCTTGGGGTAACAAGTGCTCTCAAAGGGGAGCACTTTCTGCCACCTGCAGAATTCACGCTGCACGAGGACAGGTGGCTGACACCTGTGATTCCAGCTACCTGGGAGGCAGAGATCAGGAGGATCATGGTTTGAGGCACCCAGAGCAAAAAGTTAGTGAGACTTCATCTCAGCCAACAAACCAGATGTGGTGATTCACATCTGTGATCCCAGCTATGCACGGAGGAATAAATAGGAGGGTTAGGCCCAGGCTGGTCCAGGCAAAAGCATGAGCTCCTACCCAAAAAAATAACTAAAGCAAAAAGGGCTGGGGCATGGCTCAAGTGGTGTGAGGCCCTGAGTTCAAACCCTAATAGTGCCAAAAAAAAAAAAGAATTAAGTGAAGTGATGGTGTACCGTCCAAACTCTGGGGATCACTTTCTCTCTTGGGGACAAATTTCCAGGGATGGATGGAGGTAGGCACCATTCCAAGTTCTCTCCAGCACTTGAACTGTGGGACACAGGCCTGGCAGGTTCTTTTCCCTAATGACAAAAGGGACCTGGAGCATTTTGTGGTCTTCCCTTACTCATTCCCCTCTGCGTGGGTAAGGAAGAGAGGACAGCAGGAGGGCAGGTGTAATGCTGTTTATTTATTTGGATTTTGTCTGTGGTTCCCAGTTTTATCTCCTCCCAGAAGCCCTAATGCTCCCCTACCTGTATCTGGCCATAAAGAAGCTCTCAGACTTACCTTAGAAGTTCCACAGCAGGTCCTAAGTCCTTCCTCACTCCAGAGGGGTCCTGCCCCATACCACGGAGGGAGGAATGCTGCCCAGAGAGGCCAAGAGTCTGAATTACAGGCCTGGCTGGGATCCCTCCACCCATCTGCTAGCAACCATTACTAGACTTAGGTTCCTGCAGGGTGCGGTGCTCAGAGGACTTGAAATAGCCTCTGCAATGTCCTTTACAGTAAACCAGCTGATGTCCTGTCCCCAATCCTGTAAGCCACCCAAATTAGCCAAACTCAAGGGGGGCTGCGAGAACCCCAATTTACAGCCAGTGGGTCAGAAACACAGAGGAAACAAGCCAGGGTTTGTGACTGGCACCGAAACATGGAAAGGGGCAGTGCTGGGGCAGAGCCCTCAGCCTGGGGGTGTGGCACCGTCTCAGTGTCAGAATGGATTGAGGTGACACACAGCTGGTGCCCCCTGCATCCTGGCTTGCTTGCTGGTGGGGAGAAGTCTTCATAACTTTTGGGGCCACAGAAGTCTTCTGTATTGATTTTGGGGTGAAAGGGTGGAAGAAAAACACTTTATTTTTCTTAACACAGAAGAGAATATGTGTATCTTTTATGTTGTTTTGGTTTTGGTTTTTGGCAGTACTGGAGTTTGAACTCAGAGCCTTGCACTTGCTAGGTAGGCGCTCTACCACTTGAGCCACTCCCCAGGCTGGGAACATGTATTTCTGGAGACTCTACAACAGATAACTTGTGAAAGCATATATATTATGTTCTCACAGCAATATTCATTCAGTCATCACTTCCTGGAAAGGGCTAGAATAATCTAGAAGGATCTATACTATTATGTTATCCCCCTTTCAATGAAAAATGATGTTTATGTGATTTCAAAGTCAGCCAACATTTATGGAGCAGCAGTATCCCAAATTCACACCACCCTCCCCTTGCCTTTGCCCCACACTGGTTTTCCCTGTTTTGTTTTATCTTTTGGATGAAAAATAGGTATCAGTCTCTAACTTAGCTACAGATTTTTAAATGCAGTTTCTATGTATGGGATTTATTTTTCTTTACAAAGGGAACTTTCCTATTCCTCTGCCCATCAGAGATGTTTCTTGGCTTAAGTAATTTTAGGCACCATGTCTTTGCCAAGAGATAGACAACCGATTCTGTCAAGTAAGAGCTTGTCTCTGTCCTGCCCTGAGGTCAAACTCTGGGTGAACATGAGACCTCCTTTGAGGTCTCCCTGTCTTCTTGGGCTACCAAACACCACCCCAAGAGTGCCCCTCCTCTGCCTCCCACCACTCTTCCTGGCTCCATCATCTGTGACTGCCTCAAAACTTGGGGGTAACATGGAGAAGGGAGACCCAGGGAGAAGGGTCAAGTGCAAACCCAGCAGAATTGAAGCCTAACTGGGGAGCCCTCTCTCCTCTCTCTCTCTCTCTCTCAGTCTCTCTCTCTGTCTCTGTGTGTGTGTGTGTGTGTGTCTCAAATGTCCACTTGTGCCATTAAGAGTCACTGCCAGGGCTGGGGGTGGGACTCAGTGGGAGAGCAATTGCTTAGCATACGTGAGGCTCTGGGTTCCATCCCCAACACCACAGAAATTTTTTTAAGATTTTTTTAATCTAGAAAAAAAGAGTTTCACCACATCTTTATTGCATTTACAGGTGAATAACTTACCATGTAACAAATGCCACCCGAGGGGACAATGCCCATTTATACAACTCGGGAGGTGAACACAGTATAAATCTATTTACAGAGGCTGAGGAAGGAGGCTGGCGGGGGAGAATCCACAGTTGGAGAAGATCAGGTCTGGGGATTGACAGAAGTTTAGGGGAGGTGCAAGAGAAGAGGGCTGGCCTGTGAACTGCCGCAGAGGCCCCATGGGAGGCAGCGCTGCCCAGGTGAGGAGGCGTGGGTTGACCTCCAGCCTCTACTTTGGAGGCAGGAAGGCTGGGGAGGAGCATGCAAGGAGAGTGGCTTCCAGTGTGGACTTAAGAGGGTGGGGCTGAGAGGCAGGCCACCTCTGGGTCTGCCCTCAGGTTTGCAGGTCTCCTCTGGGTCAAGCAATCCTCACAAAACACACCCTGGTTAGATGAGTCGGCTCCGGGAGCTGAACGAGCCAGCATGCAGTCAAATGACCAGACAGTCACACGTGAGAGGACAGAGTAAACGTGACCCTGAGTTGCCCAAGACTCCCACTTCCAAGACATATCCTAAGCATGGGACAAAGGAAAAATGCCACCAGGCTACAAAGAACTGGAGCTATTAGCTGGCATCGGTCCCAGCCTGGAAGACCAGTGGGTGGAGCTGGAAGGGAGGCAGGCTGTCCCTGGGATGGCCTGAACGGTCCCCTCAGCATACCCAGGGTTCAGTCCACGTCCCTTTGGAGTCCCAGCTGGGTCTGCTGTCTGGCTGTGGTCGTTCCACTCTTTAGAACAGACTTAACTGTCCTCTTTCCGTCCCTTGTAGTCACTGTAGGGGCTAGCCTGAGCCCGGGGGATGGAGAAGTCTTTTCTGGGAGCCTGATTCTGAAAAGGAAACCACTGCATCATTGATCCCTCCTGCTCCTGCATCTCAGCAGATCTCCACTCCAGGCAGGACCCCAGATTTCCCTCCCTTCTAAGCCATCCCCAAGTCCTCCCTGGACCACCCTAAGCCCACAGGGCAGTGCACAGGAAAGAAGACGTGTCATCCTTAAAGGGGACCTGCTGGGGGCCATCCGAGTGGGAACTACTGGTGTAAGATGTTTACCTGTAGCTGAAAGTGGGTGGAATAAGGAGCGTAGGGCAGGTCCCCAGTCCTGTCAACACCTGAAACAGAGGGAGAGGAGAAGTTGAAGTACTTGGGGCCCTACCAGTGCTCCATGTCACTCATCGTGGCAGGTAACACCGCATTCCTTTGTCTCTCTGAAGACTCATAATTGCCTGCAGGGAGAGACTGAGCTCAAGCCCAGCACCAGGCCCTACAGTAAGCACAGTGTGGGTTGAATGACTGAATGACTGAATGACTGGCAGCAGATGGGTCAAGGGAAATCCCTTTCCCAATCATGGACAGGAGCCCTATGTCCTCCTAAGAGCACCTCAAGAGCACATTAAAGTCTGTTCAAGGACTGGGGCCATGCTGAAGTGATAGGGCACCTGCCTGGCAAATATGAGGCCCTGAGTTCAAACCCCAATACTGCCAAAACAAAGAGTCTGTTCAGGCCTGATGCTGTGGTGCACATCTGTAATCCCAGCTATGTGGGAGCAAGGTGGGAGGATCTCGAGGACAAAGCCCAAGACCTTATCTTAAAAGTAACTAAAGCAAAAAAGGCTGGGGGTATGGATCAAATGGTAGAGCACCTGCCTAGCAAGTCCAAGGCCCTGAGTTCAAACCCCAGTACAGCTCTGACCAAATGCATACCTACAGTGAATTGGAATCTTATAGGGGGTGGGGGGCCTCCACTTCCTCACCTGCCTGACAAAGAAAATAACAAGGGGAGGATTTACAAGCAGTTGTTTTCTATGTATTTGGGGTAAATCAGGGAGTTTTGAACTTGGGAACAGAGGATAAGCAGGGCACTCATCGGTAACGCAAGTCAAAGCCACTCATTTAAGCCACTCATTTATCCCCCATCAGATTTGGCTGTCCCTTCCTCAGTCAGCACCTTTCTAGGGAAGACATGAGGTAGGATTAAGGGGCCTGGGTGGCTGCCTGGGAGTGAGGAGCAGATAAGTAGCACAAATAACTAGTGAATGACGGACTCTGATAAGAGTGCTCCAGAGTGCTCCAGAGGGCAGGGCAGAGGATTCCTGAGGGGCAAGGGGAAGGTGGGGGACAAGGCCACTTCAGGCAGGGTCAGCCATGCCTCCACTCACACTCACACAGGCGGTGACTTGGTTTGGCTGGGTTGAAAGTGAGGCTTTGGGGGTGTGAAGGGCTCACTACGAAGTAATGGGTAATGCACAGCCAGTGAGAAATGTGGGCAGCAAAGTGGGGGGTCAGGAAAAGCACTGTACAGGGAGTGAGCTGGCAATGACCCGCAAGGTGAAAGTCAAGAAGGAGGAATTGATGAGGACTGATAACAAGGAATCCAGGGTGAGGTAACAGAGCTAGGTACAGTGATGCACACCTGTAATTCCAGCTACTAGGAGGCAGAGAACAGGAGGATCAAGGTTAGCCATACAAAGTACAAAAAGTTAGTGAGACCCCAATCCCAAAAAAGTGGGTATGGTGGCGTAGGCCTGTCACCCAGCCACAGAGGGGTGGAGGTAGGTTTGCAGTCTGAGGCCTCCCGAGGCAAAAGAGGGAGACCCTATCCAAAAAAAAAAAAAAACAAACAGGCTCACACCTGTAATCCTAGCTACTTGGAGGCTGAGATCCAGAGGATCGCGGTTCGAGGCAGCCGGGCAAATAGTTTGCACGACCCCATCTCCAAAATAACCAGAGCAAAATGGACTGGAGGTATGGCTCGAGTGGTAGAGCACCTGCTTTGCAAGCTCAAAGCCCCAGTCTCACCAAAAAATAAATAACTAAAACAAAAAGGGCTATGGGGTGTAGCTGAAGTGGTAGCATGCCTGCCTAGCAAGTCCAAGGCCCTAAGTTCAAACTCCAGTTCCACCACATAATAATAATAAATAATCCAGCCGAGAAAGAAAATCTCTTTATGGGCCAAGAGCCCACCCTTGAAGTTCCCTCCCTCTGTCCAGAAACCATTTCCCCTCCCAAGGCTGGACTCAAAGATCAATGTCAACCCTGGAGACCACCAGCTAGACCCCTGTAGACAAGGGCAGGTTCCAGCTTTCAATTCACGTTCCTCTTGTGCCGGCATCAGCAGAGCGCCTGGCTTTCTGCAACTCTGGCAAGAGCTAAGGCCCCGATTCCTTCAAGTCAAGTGCGACCTTTTCCCTCCTGCAAGGCCAGACATTTGCAACGCAATGAGGCTGTTGGGCTAAGCCACAGTCCTTGTAAATTTACAGTGACACCTGCTGGCCTGGGATCAGGGGTGTCTTGTCCCACCTGCTCCCATGGCTTGGCACCTGCACTTAAGCCACCAAAGCCTCCCATTTCTGGAAGGATGCCTGCTCGTATTTTACAAAGAGCAGGGCCTCACCTACAGCCACTAAGATTTCCCCTTTCCTTGCCTGGTGTTGTGTAGAAAGTACTAGATTAGGACTCCAGGTTCAACTTGTCTCCACTATCGGAGCCTCAGGGAACTCACCTATTTTTGAAGTACTGGGGTTTGAACTCAGGGCCCCGTGCTTGCTAGGTAGGTGCTCTACCACTTAAGCCACTCCTCCAGCCCTTTCTTGTTTTCACAGAGGCTCTCCCTAACTTAAATGCACATACTGTTTGATCCTCCCATCTCCACCTCCTGCTTAGCTGAGATTACAGGTCTGTAGCACTAGGCCCAGCTTGTTGAAATGGGGTTACACTAACTTTTTGTCTGGGATGGCCTTAAACCATGATCCTCTCAATCTCCACCTCTTGAATAGCTGGGATTACAGGCATAAGCCACTGCACCCAGCCAGGATTTATCTACTCTATTGGGACAACATGTGGAAAAATCTCTCATGTTCCTTTCAGCTCTAACATCCTATGATTGTCCCCCATTTTTCTACCAAAGGACTTGCAATCATACCTTGAGTGATTTCCTCTTGCGAGTAGGCTCTGTTCTCCACACCATAGCTCTGCTTCATGAGTTGAGGTTTACAAAAAGCATCTTCGACTGGGTAATCCAAGGAGTTCCGCTGCTTTCTGAGGTGCAGAAACTCAGGTAAGACATAAAACACCAGGAAAACCCAGCCGTTGGCCACCAAGACTGTGCTGAGGATGGTGTCATCCCACTTGGACTCGAGGGCAGGAATCAAGAGCAGGATGATCCATGCCACCCAGATGAGGATGGAGAGGAGCGTGGTGAGGCAGATGTGGACCCCGTGTCTCCTCCAGCCAGAGAAGGAGCCACAGAAGGTGAACAAGGACAGCAGAAAGGTCAACACCATCAAGAGGAGGACGTAGATGAGCAGCATGACGAAGTCTTCATTGCGACGAGGAGCGGAAAGCTCGGAAAAGACATTGACGTTGGTCCTGTTCATGGCGAGGACGACATACTCAACGGCAATGACGTCCTGGATCAGGCTGAAGGCCACCGCCAGGCCCAAGATGACCAGCCAGGACAGGGGCTTCCGCCCGTAGACTAGCTTGATCAAGTTGATGGTGTGAGCCAGGAGGCAGGAGAAGCAGATGGCAAAGAGGACACCGAAGAGGAAGAAGCGCGTGGGCCCTGTGCCCCTGTCCAGTTTGATGATGAAGGCGAAGGTGAGGCCGAAGACCCCCAGCACGCCCAGTAGGAAGAGAAACTGGGTGGGGAGCATCTTCCGTTGGTTCGAGTCCTGCACCTTGGAGATGAGGATCAGGAGCGCGAACATGAATGCCACCGTGGTCACCACGCCCAAGGCTGCCAAGGTTTCTAGGGCGATGCCCCAACCCTCCGCCAGGTCACACAGCCGTTGGTACCTGGAGTCCAGGTCTGAGCGGCAACCACGAGGAGCAGGTGAGGTCATCCTGGTCCTGCGTGAAAGAGAAGTTGGGCAGTGAGCATTTTAGACAGGCCGAGAGAGGATTAGGAAAATAAGGGTGTTCCTTTGCCCTTGAACTTGCTACATTTGATAAAGCTATTGACTCTTTCCCACCCACCGTGACAAATTCTAAAGACCAATGAGGAGAGGGACAAATCTCCTGTCTCCTACTCTCAGTTTAACTCCTCAAAGACAGAGGTCCTGTGCTCAAAAGAAGTGTTTGCTCCTTTTTTGCTTTTTTAGAACTACTGGGGTTTGAACTCAGGGCTTCATACTGGGAAAGCAGGCTCTCTACCACTTGAGCCACACCTCCAGTCCATTTTGCTCTGGTTATTTTTTGGAGACGGGGGGGGGGGGGTCTCATGAACTATTTGCTCGGCTGGCCTCAAACCAAAATCCTCCCGATCTCAACCTCCCAAGCAGCTGGGATTACAGCTACCAGCACCTGGCTCCACTATCACTTCATAAGCAACCCATTCTCTCATAGAAACTGGCAGAGACCAGTTCCCTCATTTCCTCAAAACAGATAGCTAGGGGGCTGATGAAATGGTTCATGCAGTAAAGAACCTGCCTAGCAAGCGTGAGGCCCTGAGTTCAAACCCAGTGCCACCAACTAAGAAGAAGAAGAAAAAGAAAACCAGATAGATGGCTTTCAAATTTCCACGGTGGGCTGACTCCAGGGGTAGAGCGCTTGAAGCTAAATTCAGACCTTATTACTGCCAAAATAAGAAGGAGAGAAAAGAAATTTCGAAGTCAGAGAAGACACTGAAATTCAACATTGCCAGACATCTAGAGTCCTAACAGTTTCCTAATGAACTGTAAATTTGTCCGAATTGTTTTACTACTTACAAGCTCCTGTTACCCTATTTTGCTTTATTGTAGGCTATATGTTCATGGAACTTTTCTTTCATCCTCCTTTATTCCAGTGGGATAGCTCTCTGGCTGTGAGAAGTACGAGTGGAGCAGAAGAGAGTCGAGGTCTGGCAGGAAAGTGTGATGACTTCCCAGGAAAGCACACTGAAAGCCCTTGGCCTCTCGAGGGATGGAGAAATACAGCAAGAAATCAGAAATAATAGGAAGGGCTAGTAGCAGAAAGCAGGAAAATGCACAGAACACCAATCAAATCCTGCCCCTCCCCATAGAGCAGAAAAAATTATCTGGAGACCAGGCATAGCAGTTCACACCTGTAATTCCAGCTACTCAAGACGTGGAAGCAAGGTGACTGATGAAGTGGCTCAAATGGTAAGAAAGCCTGCCTTGGCAGTGTGAGGCCCTGAGTTCAAGTTCAAACCCTCATGCCATCAAAAACAAAAAAAAGTTGAGGTGGAGACTGGGAGGCTCATGGCTCAGGTCCACCCAGCAAAAAGTTAGAGAAACTGGGCTGGGGGCATAGCTCAAGTGGTAAGAGTGCCTGCTTATCGAGCATAAGGCCCTGAGTTCAAACCCCAGTACCACCAAAAAGTTAGAGAAACCCCATCTCAAAAAACAAGCCGGGTGTGATAGTGTAGCCTATCATCCCAGCTCCAATGGACGCTTAAATAGGGGGAGGATCATGGTTCAGGCAAAAAAGCATAAGACCTGAAAATTAAAGAAAAAAGCCATGTGGCAGAGTACCTGCCTAGCAATACAAGGCCCTGAGTTCAAATCCCAGAACAGCCAAAAAAACTAATTAATCAATAAATTAAATAAATAAATACAATTTGGACTTTCCTCATCACCTATCCATAAATGCCTCTCCCAAGGTGATTACCCAAGAAATAAGAACACCCCTCCTTCTCCCATCCTGTCTTCATGATCTAATCCAAGGTACAGAGCAGCACAGTGGGGTGTAAACTGACTCATTTCTCCTGGCCATGGAAGGGAGACAAGCTACCTCCCTCTTATACCCCAAATTCAAACTCCTGCCTCCTCCGAAGACGCAAAATCATTCTGTCAGTTAGATAAGATCATCATTGTGCCAGAATTACGTATTTATTTGCATGTGGGACTCAAGTTTGAACTCGGGGCTTTGCACTTGCAAAGCAGGTGCTGTATGCGAGAGCCACACCTCCAGTCCATTTTCCTCTGGTTATTTTGGAGATGGGGTCTTGAGAACTATTTGCCTGGGGCTGACTTCCAACCTCAATTCTTCCCATCTCAGAGCCTCCCAGGAAGCTAGGATTACAGATTAAGTCACTGGTGCCAAGCTGTACCAGAATTATTTTATTCAAGCAGCAGTTAGGAAAAATTGTAGATATACATGTTCTTGTGCAGTCTACACAAGTACATACAGGTATGAGTGCATATTGTGTGCATGTCAGAGTATTGCGTAGTGAGGTAAAATAACACAGATGAAGTTTAAATCTGTCTTCCTAAGTTTTTAATGAAATTTGGCTCTCTCTGAGCTTAGTTTTATATTTTATGGTCATTCAACAAATATTTACTGCTAGACTTGACTATGGTCTGTGTCGTCCCCTGCCCAGCTGTCCTGTTTACTTTGAAACTTAATCCCAATTAGCTGGTGCAAACTTAATCCAACCTAGGTGTGTCTAGAGGTGGGGCCTGTGGGGGTTAGTATCAGGTCATTATCAGGAGTACCTATTATTAAATCCTGGTGGCTTTAGAAGAAGAGGAAGAAGACCAGAAAAGATGTACAGACACAATGAGGTCCATGTCTCTTGCCATAATGCCCTGTGCCACCAGGTGACTCTGCCAGCCAGAAGGCTCCTACTCTTGAGTCGTGAGCCAAAATAAATCTCTTTTTCTCTATAAAGTTACCCAACCTCAGGCACTTCATTACAGTAATGAAAAATGGACTAATACATTTCCCGAGCCCCACTATGTGCCAATCACTAGTCTAGCTACTCTAGATAAAGGGGAACTCATACGTGGTCCTTATCATAGTAGGAGAAATCGTCAGACATAATCTACATCCACGGACTTTCCGTCACCTTCCCTCACAGTGGATCTGTCACCTACACTCTGCCCTACTGCAAATTACACCACGACTACCTGTCCAAAAGTCAGAAAAAAAGATTGGGTTGTGTTTCACCTGTACAAGCAGCAGGAAGAAGAGAAGCAAACAAGGTTCAGCCCCAGCAGCCCCTGAAGCTCAAGTACCCAGTGAGATCTGCCCTGTCCCCCACATGTCCACTCTGATGGAGGGAAACAGAGAGAGGGGAGAGCAGCGGGGAGGGCTCTCCCGTGTCTGCACCATGAACATGGAAGAGGCAGAACCCTGGTCATCAGAGGGCAGGGCGGAAGGACAAGGAAGACACCGGCTTGTGTGTTTCACTCCATTCTCATGCCTGGTCAGATTCATCCTAAGGATGGTGTCTGGAGGAAAGCATGTCCTTCTTCCCTTTGTCCTTTCACCCACCCTCCACCAATTGTGGACAAGGACTGTTAGCATAATTACCTGCTGGCTAGGAAGGACTTTGAACCTGGTGACTCTAATTCTGGACAGATTGGTGACTTTTTTTGCCTGAAACACAGTTCCAGTGCAAGACAGAGGACAGAAAGGCAGAGAGCCCTGCCCACCTGGACCTGCAGCAGAGCAGCAGGGAGGTGACCTGGGGCCTCCTGGCTCCCACAGACCAGGGTCCAACAGCTGACCTGGGCAGTGGTGTGGGGAGAAAACTGATTTCTCCAAATTTCACCTCCACCGCCCCTCACCTCCCAGTCAAGCAAGGAGGCTACAGAAACAGACCCTGAAGTGGGCTGTTAGTCCCAAGTAACTGTGCAAATAACAGGCTTCACTGTGATATCACTCAGCCCCTCTCACCACTGCCACCCCTCGTCCCCCGCCCCTTCCACACCCAGTCATTCCCCTTTTGCTCCTGAAATGCCTTCAAAACATTGCTTTCCCAGGCACGGTATACATCCCTATAAGCCCAGCACTGAGGCAGGAGGATGGCAAGTTTGAGGCCAACCTGGGCTATATAGTGAGACACTGTCTCAAAAAACAATATTTTTTTTTAAAAAGTTTAAGTTTTATTATAGAAATTTTTCTAATGGAGGCACACGTGCTCATCACTTGCCTTCAAAAATTATCAATATATTGCCAGTTTTGCTTTAATTCCCACCCAACTCACTAAATTCTCTTCAAGCAAACCACAGATGTCATAAAATTTTATCCATAGATATATTAGGTTTTTGTTTTTTTTGGTTCTTTTTTTTTTGCAGTACTGGGGACCTTGAACTCAGAGCCTTCACCTTGAGCCACAACACCAGCCCTTCTGGTGATGGGCACTTTTGAGATAGGGTCTCAAGAACTATTTGCCCAGGCTGGCTTCAAACCTCAGTCCTCCTGATCTCTGCCTCCTGAGTAGCTAGGATTACAGGTGTGACCACCAACGCCCGGCAAAAAACATCTTAACCACACTTTAAATTAATAACTGAGGAGTAAATAGCACACATATATGAAAATGTTACAATGCTACCCACTGTATATCTAATATATGCTAATAACATAAAAAGGGAAGATAACAATAAGCTTTTAACATCAAATATTCAGTTAGAGACCTTTTTTTCCTCTTGTGTTACTGCTGAGAATTGAACCCAGCACCTCATGCATGCTAAAGATACCACCAACCACATCCCCAGCCTCACAATGTCTTGTTTGTTCTTTTGTTTTTTGTTTTTTGGGTGGCACTGGGAGTTGAACTCAGGGCCATTTCACCAGCCCTTTTTTTTTAGAGATAGAGTCTTTGGAACTATCTACCCAGGGCTGGCTTTGAACCTTGATCCTCCTGATCTCTGTCTCCTGAGTAGCTAGGATTACAGGCATAAGCAGGCCCAGAATGCCTTTTTAAAAAAACTTTCTAGTGCTAGTTTTTACCTGGTGACTAACTTTTTTGGAATTACCGTTGTAAATCACCTCTATTAACCCTCCTCCACCTCTTTCCAGGCTGATAGGGATTACTCAACAGGTCCAAAATGTCATTAGTACTCCCAGCTTAGTCAGAGGGCAATAAATCTCCCTTGGGATGCTAATAAGCAAGTCA